GCCACTTTGTAACCCACGTTCTCGCCTTCTTCGTTGTCGAAGACATAATCGTCATTGTGAACCTTGCCGGTCAAATTTGAACTAAAGTCGGTTCGCTATATTCGAAGCTCACTGATGGAACAGTCCTGATAGGTGGAGTTTCCCAGACGATGCGCAATGGAGAAGATGGATTTCTTGGTGATAAGGTAGTTCGCTGCTACGGTCCAGTACATGCTTACAATGATCAAAGAGTTGGTGAGCATGCATATGGTGAAGTACACTACTTCCCTAAGTACTGAGTCGATCGTGGATATCAACAGTGAGGCTATAGAGATATTGAAAGCACTTTATCCTGCCCTAAAAGATCTAGCACTTATTGGTTCTCCGGATTCCCACCACCGGCCTTCATTGTCGAAATTCCGAAAAATACAATTTCCCATCACCACCCTTCATTGTTGGAATTATGAAGAATACAGGTTCCCATCACCAACCTTCATTGTCAAAATTCTAAGGAATACAGGTTTCCACCACCAGCCTTCAATACTAGAATTCTGAGGAATACAGGTTCCCACCACTGGCCTTCACCGGCCAATCTATGGATTTCATTAATGAATTTCTAACATCAAAAGGATACATTGTTATTTTCGTCGTTACCGAGCGCCTCTCTAAATATGCTCATTTTGGACCCCTACCTACAAATCATTATGCCTCTCCAATAGCTTATCTCTTTGCTCATATGGTAGTTTGCTTGCATGATTTTCCTAAAACAATAGTGTCTGATTGAGATAGCATTTTTAAGTAACCTTTGGTGCCATTTGTTTGCTTTAAGTGGTACTACACTCCATTATAGTACTGCTTATCATCCTCAGACAAACGGCCAAACTGAGATTCTCAACCATTGCATAGAACAATATCTGCGTGCCTTTACCTCTACTATTCAATTATTGTCCATCTTTCTTTGTTGGGTTGAATTCAGTTACAACACTTCATTCCACACTGCTATCAGATGACTCCTTACCAGGCTTTATATGGTAAACCCTCTCCCTCCATCCTAGCATATATATTATTGACTCATTATTATCTAATTGTATTAGACTATTACAGACTTAAACAGGTAGTCTTGCAATAGACACTCACTAACCCAAAAGATGAAACATAGGAAAAATCTCCAGCTCTTGCTACCTCCTTTCCATCTCTCAACCCTGAGGACAAGGTTATTTTTCATGACAATGGGAGTGTGATACGCCTTAGGTTTCACAAATTAGGGTTTGCCCTAATTTTCCTTCAAGGTGAAATTTCTCCTCCAAATCCAAGAAAAAATCAACACAAGAGGGATGAGAGTAAGAACAAGAACATTTGCATTCAAAATCCAAGAGAAAAAAGATACAATTTGTCCACTTCGAGAAGGACAAGGTCTCCCACTACAAACCCTAGAAAAACAAGAGAAAGAAACTAAGGAGGCTAAGAGAAAACTCAAATCTTGCATAACCCTAGAAATCTCCCTCTATTCCTTACTTAAAGCAAGCCAAAAGACCAACAAAACCCACTAGTGGGCTGCCCAAAATGAACCGCCCAGCTCAGGGCAGACCCGAGCCAAACCGGTCCAGGATTGGACCGGTTCCGCTCAAGGCCGAACCGTCCCGCCGCTCCGTCGCGTCCCGCACTCCCCTTCGGCTGGCCGACTGGCGCGGCATTCCCCCCCGCGGCTTTCGCTCGCCCGCGGGTGCCGTCCCTCCCTCTGCGACCGGGAGGCGGATCGCATCACATTATTAGTAGAATTGAAGTTGGATGTTTGAAGTTGAGGAATGCTTCGGTTTTTGTTGTGTAATAGAAAAGTACCACTCAAACTTAAGAAAAAATTTATAAGATGGTGGTGAGACTTGGAATGCTTTATGGCGCATAATGTTGGCCATTAAAAGAGAAGCATAATATCAAGTTAAGTGTTACTGAGATGAGGATGCTCAGGTGGATGAGGTGTTTTACTCTTAGCGGCAGGTTACGAAACGAGCATATATGTGAAAAAGTTGGAGTGGCTCCAGTGACAGATAAGATTAGAGAGAGTCGCCTTAGATGGTTTGATCATGTAAAACAGCGGCCTTCCGATAACCTTGTTAGGAGAGTTGATGTATGAGATTTGGCCTATATTAAGAAAGGTATAAGTAGACCTAAAAATGCTTGGTTAGAAAATATTAGAAATAACATTTCTTTTTTAGATTTAAATGAGAATTTGACTCTTAACACACAATGGAGAAAAAAGATTCATGTAGTCGACCCTACATAGTGAGATAAAGGCTTGATGCTGTTGTTGAAGGAAAAACATAGGGTCACATATTAAGAAAATAGATTGAGAGAATTGCTTCGTTAGTGCTTTAATTCTTCAAGTGAAGGGAGATATATTGCATAAATCATAATAATTAGATAATGATCCTTACATGGGCTGCTATAAGAATAGTATGGATTGGACTATTATTTAAGTTCAATTTGGTCAATCTTAGAGTTTAAAGGTTTTTGTTTGACTAAATCTTAAATCGAATATATGAACTATAATTTTAGTAGTAATAGATCTACTGGGGGATTGTGACATTGGGCAATCTAGTTATTAATAAAAGTATATATTTTAGATATATTGAATCTATTGTTCAGAGTGATGGCAAAATAGATGGGGATATTATTAGTAGAATTCAAGTTTGATGGTTGAAGTGTAGGAATGCTTTGGGCTTGTTGTGTGATAGAAAGCGCCTCTCAAACTTAAGGGAAAATTCTAAAGATGACGGTGAGATCTGCAATGCTTTATTGCACAAAATATTGGCCATTAAAAGAGAAGCATATTATTAAGCTAAGTGTTGTAGATATGAGGATGCTCAGGTGGATGAGTGGCTTTACTCTTAGAGATATGATATAAAACGAGCATACACATGAAAAGGATGAAGTAGCTCCATTGGAAGATATGATTAGAGAGAGTCGCCTTAGATGGTTTGGTCACATAAAATGGCGGCTTTCCAATGACCAGATTAGGAGAGTAGATATATTAGATTTGTATTATGTTAAATTAGATAGAAGTAGACCTTCAAATATTTGGTTAGAAAATATTAGAAATGACATTTCTTTATTAGATTTAAATGAGAATTTGACTCTTAATAGGACACAATGTAGAAAAATGATTCATGTAGCTGACCCTGTGGGATAATGACTTGATGTTGTTGTTTTAATGTTGTATTGTTTTGGAATGGCAACAAATAAGTCCTAAATGATGAAAAGACGTAAATGAACTAAACAAATTCAAAAGGAGAAATATTTTTTAAAACTTTAATTGTGTAATGCAATATGATATCTTTTGTGATGTTATTGATGATGATGAGTAGTTCATTAGGCCCCACGAATTAAATAAGATATCACTATCTCTTATGACGCATGTTGACATTCTTGAATTTACTTCTTAGGGAGTCTTTTTGTATCAATGTGAGACTTAGTTTGGAACTTTAGTGATTTTAATCTTCTTTCTCTCTTTTCTTTTGTTATTGGTGTTTGATTCAAAATTTATCAAATGTAATATATGCTAAATTCCTTTTGTGTTGGAATCTTCATCTTTGTTGAAAATTTATATTTATTCTCAAAATTTTTTATAAGATTCCAAACTTTGACTACTATTATGTTAGTGCTTGAGATGAAAGAAGCACATTTTTTGTGTTTGCATTTAAAGTATGATTTTATTGAGTGAAACATTTTGATGTGCGTGATTAAAGTTTTGTTAAGTGTGATATGCATTGAATTCTTTTTGTAATGTAAATCTTGATCATTATTAAAATTTAATATGTTCTTACTTTTTTCTTATGAGATTTAGATTTTTTATGACTATCATATTTTTGTTTGGAATGAAATAAGCTTATTTGTCATTGTTGCGTTAAAGTTTGCTAATTTTTGCTAAAATTAAAAGTTGATAACCTGCAAATTGTGGCTTTTTGAGCATCCTATCATTGGTTGCATTAGCCAACTCAGAACCTTAAGCATCCTACATAACTCTTCTCTAACTATTTATGATAAAAGCATTAACTTTCTTGGACAATGTAAACCCCTACAACAATGAAAAAATGACATGCATGTTGCAATGAAAATTGGCTATTTTACCGCTAACAAATAACGAAAAGATAAAAAAGGATGATGTCATAAGCCTGACACATTAAAATACACCGCTAAATTAATTAACACGATGACCGATGGTTAAGGATTGAATTAGATTTCTAGTATTGCATCATTGTTGTCTTAGAAAAGCCAAAAATTGACTTCTTTTCTTTTACTGAAATTTGTTTTAATATTGTTGGATTTGTAACAAATTTGTAGGCCTTTTATGGAAAATCCATGGCATAATTCCTCTTTTGAAGGTTCTGGTTTTTTGAGGCTCTTTCTAACAACGAACATAGAGAATGCAGATTTCTACACAAGGTAAATATAATGGTAGCCTTTTGGAGAGTAAATCATTTTTTCCCACATTTTGTTTTTTGAATGATCTAACATTTTTGATTTTGCAGTGAACGGATAAGAGAGTTCCTTGACCTTTGGAACTCCATCCCAAATTGCCAATTTTGGGATATTCAGTGGGCTTCCATTCTTGCACGTTGTATAAAGAATTGCAAGTCAATTGATTGGGAATGCTTTTTGCCAGCACTTTTTACCCGGTACCTTAATATGTTTGAGGTATGCAAAGAATTATTTGTTAGGCATCATTCGGTTTAGCTTATTAATTAGAATACCCATGTTAAATGCCATTTTCTTGAATGTATTATTACCTTTTAATGTGAAGTTCTTCAGGCATTAATCTTGATAGAACAGATCTAGGCAGAAACCTGACTGAGTAATATTGATCACCAAAAAAGAAAATAATAATAATACCTAATCCCAAGTGCACCGTGTCGTCCATGCCACAAAGCCATGTTTGCCACCCTCATTGCACCCTTCAACCACTATGGTATGAGTAAATTAGGCCTAGCGCATGTTAATCTCATTCGCCCACATTTCCATCCAAAGCTCTCTCATTATCTCCTGCTACTACCCTAAATTGTCTCTCTCGAAGCTCTTGAACTCTTGCAAATCCCATCTCCTCTTTGTTCATTTTGCTTCTGCTTTGTTTCTTTGTAAAACCCCATTCTTATGCGATCTCTAAACTCCTAAGTAGTCCATCTCTTGTTTCATTGTCAACTTTTTTAAGCACACAATCAATGCTTCTACAAACCTTAGTGTCGGCCTTTTTAAACTATCTTGACTTAAGATAGATAGAGACTGTCAACCCTTCTATCTCCTGACTCCCCTCAACCACACCAATCATAGGTCACTCCTTGCATGCAACAATTATTAACTCAACATTACATATGCTTATGTTTTTCTCTCATAATAGGGATTTGCTAATCCAGTAGGCGCTCACTGCTCTTTGGTATGATCTAACACCCTCTACTCTCAACTCTTTTACGACTTGCACACATTAAATCCCGATCCCAACAACCTGTAACTCACTTTGTTTACTTCCTCCCATTATCCAACCATCTGAGTCTAATGACTTCATTGTGTTTAAGCACATGCATAAATTAGGTCTTATTTCCCACAACTACACCTAGGCACACAAATGCAATAATAAGAAAAAAAGTTTGAAGACTACATGTTTGTCATATATTTGATTCGACCAATGTTTTATCTTCATGTCCATGAATCTTTGATTCGGTTGGAATTTGAAGACCCTATGTCGATCATGACTTTGATCTAACTAGGAAAAAAAATTACCCTTTTCTTCCATTGTGTCTTTCATCTTTTATCTTTCATCTAGCCTTTGGAATTTGAAGATGCCTTGTTTGTTGTATTTTTGACTCAACTGGGAAGAAAATCACCTTATGAATCCGTCGTATCTTTGATCTAGCTATTGTACCACCTCTGCATCTATTAATATTTGATATAGATTGAATTTAAAGACCTTTGCTTCTGTTCAATCTTTGGCCCATCTTGAGTTTTGTCTCTCCATTAATCTTTGATCTAAGTTCAGGGAAAAAAGTTCTCGTTACTTGTGGTTATACTTAGACCAAAATCATAACTATAACTTCGTTGTCATTATGTTGTGGTATGTATGGTTATAGTAAGGCTGGTCACAAATAGGGCAATAAGCCTCAAATTTTAAATAATAAACTCGACTTTTCTAATGGTTATAAGTTCTATCCCAATAAAATGTAGGTCTTCTAAGGGATGAAAGCACCATTCTAATTAAATACTTGTTTCCAGTAATTAGCTCTACTTAACATAAAACCAATAAACCCACTAAATCATAACTTGGACCTTCGAATGGATATGACCCCATCTCACTTAAAATTTGGGCCTTTCCATAGATATAAACTCGAACTCAGCCTATACTTAGGGTAGCTCCCATGCTAATAAACCTACTAACCAAAATCAAATCTACCATTGAAAATCTCTTGTACATTCATCATGATATGCTCTGGTTGTCTAAAAGGATGTAAGTCAAAGTTACTAATTAGATTCGCTGGACGTTATGACTTATCTCTTTCAAATGTTGGTAGACTGTGTCTATTGGTATGCTTAGGGGGGATGTAACTGTAAGATATTAATACGATCTATTTCCATTCCACCAATCATCCCCCTTCAATTCAACTCAAACTTGAGTATTAAAATCGAATCGAAAATCAAGCATAAGAAATCATATACATAATTGAGAGTACTCTCTTGCAAGTAGGAGAGATTGTTAACTATATGGGGCCTTCTGCTTATAAGAATTCTTAACCTTAGATCTAAATAAATCGTGGTCTAAATACCATTTTTTTTTTATTAAATTAAACGTAATTTATCTCATATAAAATGACTCCCCAAATTCAAATAGCAGTTGGGTTTTTCTTGTGTGATCAATTTAATTGATTTTTTTGGTGTAATTATATATGAGTGATGAAAAAATTGATTTTTAACTCCTCAGCTATGTGGCTTACCAAATTATTAATCAGAATAAGTTGCTTCGTGCATCAAATTGTTCATATAGCGCGTTCCTTCTTGTTATTAAGTACTTTTGTAGGTGGTTTTCTGGTTCTCTCAAAAGAAATAATTTCATATGCTAATGTTATGCACTCAATATTTTTATAGGTTTCTTAATTTTCCCTGACCTTGTCCTAATATGGCATCACTTTGCAATTTTCAAAATTTGCTTTCTATTCCTATAAATTACTGCAACTAGTTTACTTTTTCATATGATGCTAACTATGACACTGTTTATTTTTAGAAGAAAATTATGACAACATAATGACCTCCTTAGGAATCAAGAAAACAATGAATGAGTAGAAAATACGAACCACAACTTGTCCAATAATAAACAAATGTAGACAATAAATAATTATGCTATTGATTTTGACTAGCAGTGGCATGTTAAATCAATAACAACTTTAATATATATATATATAACCAAGCGGTTGAGACCAGTTCAAAGGAATTTAGTTTTAATACACAAAAATGAAATAAAAAATCCTGAAAAAACATCAACTAGGTGTTGACTCAATTTTTTAATCTTAAAATTAAAATTTAACTTAATTTTTGACCTGAGACGATATGATTTAATGCTCTAGTCAGTGTGAATCGATTAAATAGAATCAATCTATTCATTTTAATCGATTTATTTTCTTTGATTTAACTATAATTTCATTAATACGAATCAAATCAAATCAAATTAATCGAGTTGAATCAAGGAGAATTGAATATAATCTAGTCAAATTGAACTTAACTGAGTCAAATTAAAGCGGCTTGAGTCAAAGTGAACTAAATCATTGTCAATTCAACTAAATTAAACTATCGACTTGGTTTGACTTGATCGATTTGTCTGGCTCAGCCATAATCCAATCCAACCATCAAATAGTTTCTTAAACCTTTTAAAAAATATGTCTAAAACTAATCGAACATCTGGAAATGCAGAAAAGTGAAGAGCGGCAAGCATGATGGTCCCAACCCCTTTTTTGACAAACTGGTTCTGACATAGCTAGATATCGAGGGTAAAAGGGGAATTACTTACAACTGTTCATCCATAGCAAATTGAAGGCAAGATGGGCATTTCACACATTTCCTAAGGGCTTGAATTCGCAAGCAAACTCAATTACATAGGAAGTTTTCGTATATATGCGATTAGCAGAATCAAAGGGAGGTAGTGCTTTTTGTTCTTTTGGTTTTTAGAGAAAAGGAAGGAGGGTTGGCGTTCTGAGTGCTCAAGCTTCCAAGCTCTACTTACCTTCTTATTGGTTGGCGGCCTTTAACTTCGAGAAGGATCAAACATCTGCGACCTGTAGTGGAGGATTGATCTTTTTAGTAGCTTCACCTGGGCTTGAAGAGTTTTGCAATTCTCTTCTTATTTTCTGAGGTTCGATAACCAATAAAAAGTTTCATTGCCATCGACAACCATATTCCAATGAGTTGTAGTCTGTGACAGTGACGCCCCTTGCTATTTGTAAGCAAGATTTCTTGCATTAATTGTCTTTGTCTACTAGATGACGGTACTGCAATTAGCAATTGCTGAACATCGCTTTAGTGCAAAAAAATTCCTTAATACTTAGAAAATTTGTGTCTCTTGGCCTTTGTCGATGTGTATAACGATCATAATTAACACTAGCTCCTTTAGATTTCCCTTAGTTTATGATTATCTGACCCAAACCCATTGTCCTCTTTAATTGTCCATGGAAATCCGGTGATTTCTCATGGATGGTTTTCATTTAAGATTTAAAATATGAGGACGACAAGGCATCGGGTCAAAATTGCATTCATGTTGGACTTAGCCTTCCACCTACATCAAGCTCTATGTTGGACTTAGCCTTCCCTCTGTATCAAACTTTAGGTTTTCTAGTGGCCATTTGATCTTTATCTATTGATTTCACATTTGTTCAATTTAATCAAGTTGTATTTCATTTCTATCTAAAGATATATGAAATTTTCTTTTGCATTGATGTGTTGCTAAATAAGTTCATTTAATTCCAAAATATTTAAAATTAATTTGAGATAAACTTTGGACCCTCGATGGTTCATGGTTTAAATCCCATATTGTTTTTGGAAATATTTAGACTTATTCATAAGTTTTCCAAATGAAATGATTAATTGCTTTTAATTTAGAAAATTCATTACTAAGTACAAAAGGTTCCTAAATATGCAAATCATATTTAATATGCTTTTAAAGTCGTAGATTATGACAAAGTTAATCTTAAGTAACATTTTGTACCCTCTTAAAGCAGGAAAGGGTCACTCTCAAAGCAATTCATATTTAATATGCTTTTAAAGTCGTAGATTATGACAAAATTAATTGCTTTTAAGAGGGTCACTTCTAGCCTTTAGGGTCACTCTAAAATAGGAAAGGGTCACTTCTTTTAAAGCTTCCTCTCATGAATATTTCTTGCTTTTTTTTAACTTGATAAATGTAAATTATTAACCAAGCAACATTCCATCTTCTCAAATTCATTTGGAATGTTTTCTCACCTTTAAACCAATTTCAATGTGGCATGAGTTGTAGAGCTCAAACCCAAATTTGAACTCTTCCAACATATTCATCTTAATTAGTGTTCTTTATGAATTCATTTAATGATCCCCTTATATCTTTTATGAATTTTAAAGGGCCCTAGTATTTGTTTTGGCCCCTTATAGGAGCCAAGCAACCTTAGACAAGCCTTAGGTTTTTCCTTGGT